GCACTTGAACCGGTCGTGGGCCACCGAGCCGTTGAACGAGAAGTGGTGGCAATCCTTTTCCTCCTCAACTGCCTTGACCCCGCCCGAATTCCGGGTCCAGTAGATGTTCAAACGGTAGCCGGGAATCTCCTCAAGCATGTTGCGTGTTTCCTTCTTATAGATGTCCACGGGCGAGTCAAGCAGCGGGTTGAATTTCATCGCGAAACGAAGCAAGACTTCAAGGAGTGGTCGGCTGCGAAGGGGGTGGTTGTTCAAGGCTGGATCTTCCCTGTTCGTCCTTCGCCTGTTGCCTGCTGCTGCCTTCGCCTTTGCTTCTCCTTTGGCGCGAGCCTTCGGTTTTGCTTTGGGCTCTGGCTTCGATTTGGGCTCTGGCTTCGATTTGGGCTCTGGCTTCCTGCGCTCCTGATCGTCCTTGCCCTGGTCTGCTGTAGCTTTCTTTGCCTTTGTTTTCTTCCTCTTCTTGCTGTCGTTGCTGGGCGCGTGCTCCAAGTCTGCTGCGCTTGAGCCTGTCAGGATGCGATTCTTGCGTTCGGTTTTCTTTGTCAAGTTCTGCTTCGACTTCTTTTTGCCCTTCTTTTTCTGCTTGCCTGTGCTGCTTGATGCCGCTGCTGCAGCGTCTGCTGCTTTCTTTTGCGTTTTGTCCTTCCTTGCTTGCTTCTTTGAAGCCTTCCACTTCAACTGATCGTCTCTCGTGACGAAGTCTTCCTCCTATGCGTGCAGCAGGTGTGGAAAAGTTGCGGCAACCGGTGAGTCAACCAGTCACGTGCCAAAAAAAACGCAACGCCTTAAGTAAGAACCAGCGCTCAACATTCAATTACCCAACGGTTGAAAGGATCAGCCCTCAATATACGGTTCCCGGCGCCTCGCCAGGCATCCTTGCAGCGACACCTGCATCAGCAGGAGCAATGGGCTGGGGCACGGGGTCGGCCGCGGGCGGGCGGAGTGCCAAGGGCGGCTGCCACAAAGGGAGCTTGCTGGGCTGGAGGTGGGGGTGGGTCTGTTGGAGTTGGCGCAGCTGGGGCCGAGGTGGGAGGGACAGTCGGGGCTGTGGCTTGCGCGGCTGGTGCGGGTGGAGTAGGGGATGGAGCATTGCTTTGGGCAATTGGCAGGGCTTGAGTGGGGCTGGGTTGCAAGGGTTGCGGTGCGGGATTGTTGGACAGGTTACTGGTCGGGGGCAGCGGCAAACTGTCTGCAATTGCCGGGTTTGAAGCTGCAGCTGATGGTGCTGCAGGTGCAGCCGCAGGGGCTGCCTCGCTGGGCTTAGCAAACACAAGCGGTATGTTTTGGTACTGGGCTCTTCTTTGTGCTACAGTCAAGTCTGGTGACGGCGCCTCTGTCAACTTCTCAGTCTGGGCCTTCAGGGAAAGGGTGACCGCGGCAACCTCGTAAGGGTTCATTGGCTGCGTCTCTGTTGAGTCCAGGATCAAATTTGAGCTTGCGCTTTGTCCTGGTGGCCATGGTAATCACAAACCTCAAACACTGAGTGATCCTGGATGGCCTTTGTGATATAAAAAGGGTTCTTGGAGTTCGAACACGCAAGCGGGCATCAAATATGTATAGTTGATGACTGACGTCTCCCCCAAACTTCAAATTTTCATCCTCGATCAATGATCCCTTGTTCCCCATTTTCTTCAAACAAAGGACCGTCCTGCGTTGAGCGGGGGCGGAGAGAAAGCCGGGTGCTTGGGCGAAGGTGTCTGGAACACGTCACCCTCGAGCTTCATTTTCTTCATGGCTTGAAGCCTCAGAAAGCGTGATAGGCGGGTTGAGTTTCTATTTTGAGATAGTTTGATGATGTTGCCTTGACCGACCTTCGACAACAGCTTAGTTCCGCACTGCTCCAAACGTTGCTTGGCCCGCTTCAACCGCTCCGCACGGTCACCAGAATTTCCTAGGCACGAAGGGCTACTTCCACGCGTTCAGAAGGTTGGTTGAAAAAGGGAGCAGTTGTCTTGCATATACAACAGTTGTGTGTTTCTTTGTTTCTTTTTATACAGTCAATCCCTTCAAACTGGTTCAACAGGTTTGATCAAACAACCCCAGCAACTGTTCAACATCGGACAAGTCTCCTACCACCGATGGCTCCGCAGGAGTCGCTGGTGGTACCGGCACTGCGGCGTCACTCGCCAGAGGAGCCACGGGTTGGGCGGGTGGAGCTTCGGGCTTAGCACCAGAGGTCCCCAAACAATTCTCAGGGGTATCTTGGCCAACAACTTCCTTCTCAGGGATCTGTTTGCCAACCGGCTTGTCCAAGCAAATCTCTTTGCCAACCACTTCCCCAAAAGGGATGTCTTTGCCCACAACCTCCTGGTCAGTTCCCTCACCAGACTCCTCATCGTAGGCGTCAGGGTTTTCGTCCTCCATGGAGTCCTGCCAGCGTGTACGTGTTCTCTGTGACGTAATGGCTGAGATTGGCACACACTTTTGGAGAAAGGTTTAACATACCCTGCCAATTGTAAAGAAGGTTGCTTAGGCGAGCCAGCCAAAGACCCAAAACAAACAGCAGTCGTCCTTGGAAGTGCCCTGCTTGGCAGCTTTCTTCAGATTGATTTTGTCCACGGCTTCCTGTAGGTTTGTCAAAATTGCCATGGGTGTGTGTGTGTGTAGCCAAGGAATGACTGAACAATTTGCTCAACATACGTTTGGGCTCACCCAGATCAGATTGAAAGCAAGCTCGTCGTGGCCCCCCTTGCACATGCCCCAGTGTTTCCTGGAGCAGCGGGTTCAAAATCAGGCACATGTTCTGGAACTCAATCTCCTGGGATTGGGCGCATTGCTCGGCTGTCAATTCGTTGACAAACCTTTCGTTTCACCTTCTTTCTCCCATGCAAATGTTTGGATGAGAGGTGAGTGTGTGTATAACCTGGACCATCTCAAAGACAGCAGCAAACCCAAATCGTGATTAAACAAATATATGTTGCCAAAGCACCCATGAGGGCTTCTTGATGCGAGTCTTCATCTTGATCAGCCCCAGAAACTTGCGTGTCATCCAGCTGTCGTGGACTATTTGACCATCATCCACTTGCTTGGACATGCGCTGGTAGAGCATCTTGAGCTCCTCCCTCAAAGGCTCAACGGAAGGCTGCGGGTGACCCTCCATCTCAGCCATTTTGAGCAGCAACGGTGTCAGGTAGGCCCGAATGTGCTTGTGGCAAGCTGTTTTCACCGTCTCCGTCAGGTTCTGTGGGAACAAAACCGCTTTCTCACCGCGTAGGTGTTCACGAATTTCGGCATCAGCCTCCCACACTGAAGATAGCCCAGCCAAACTAATCTTTTGTTTCTCACCCTCCTTGCCCTTATCCTCCCCCGCAACTGCGTCACCCATTGCAAATGGCGCCTGAAAGGCTACGCTCACTGGGCCAAAATCTGCAAGCATACGTTTTGCCAACATGCTAAAGCGCAACATGGCAAGTGACTGCCCCGCAGGAGCTCGGTACGACCCGGCCTGCTCGATGATTGGGAACAAAAGGGCCCATGGCGCGTCCGGATGTGCCAGAGGGCACGCGTTGAGAAACACGTTGTCTGTTGATATTTGCCCATCTTTCGGAGCTTCACTCAGTCGCAGAACGTGTTCTTACTTGCTGGAAGCTTGATTGAAAAAACAGAGCCTGAACCAAATCCACTCAGCTGGAATGTATACTTCTTAACTCGGAGCATTCCGATTTCAATTACGGAAGTACTTTAGGGCCCCGGAACCTTTTTGAGGACCCCTTCTGACAAGACTCTGTCTGAATTGTTTGGTGACGTTCGGTGAAACTTAGTAACTTAAGACTTGTTCACTGCACATTGTGTATGATTGCCAGATTCGGCTTGGCGGACTTGTGATATAGAAAAAGTATGGCCCTTTCAAAAGGGGCATGGGGGACCCAAAAAATATTTCCCGGCAGCCACGTCTCGAGCCCGGGAGACGGCGTTGCTGACCTGGGGCAGAGCAGTGGATATAACGCATGAAAATATATCTCAAAGCCACGAGTAATTGTACATGTTTGGTCCGAAATATAGGGTATCCAAGAAAAGTCGATGTTTTTTTTGGAAAGTTGGTGTTTTTCCAAGAGTCAAAAAAAGTCGGGTTACTCAGAAAGAACCTGCAAATTCGTAGGTTCTCGAGTCTCTAGGTAAAAGGAGAAGCCCTGGGTTTAAGTCTATCTTGGGGTAGTCAAAAAGCGGTTCCCTGCAAGGGGACCCAATGATGAAAATTATCAGTGAAGATTTGCGGAGCTCAGAAGCGTCAATAGGGGGCAGGAAGAGCAATCGGAAATCCACCATTTTGTGGTGTCCCAATGAAGAACAGTTGACGCAATTCAGATGATGAGTTACTTCTTATGTACTCGTATACGTGTATATATCTATATAAGTACACTGTACACCATACTGGTGAAATATGAATCTAATATGAACCCGATTGAATTTTAGTGGTGACAACTGAACCCTAGGTAGGCATCTAAGCGACAGATGCAGAGACTTGCTGATGCGATAGATAGGGAAGAACCGTTCGGGTTTTGGGCATGAACCGTTTGGGGATTCCCTAAAAAACCATTTTGGGGATGGTTTTTTCTTGTGCCTGTCGAACCAGCAAGAGGAGAGGAAGCCCGGTGTGCAAAAGAGTCAAGTGATTGGAGATGCAACAGCAGGAAGCTTAGTGGGGTGTGTCCTTGTTTTGGAGGAAACCCTTTTGATTGGTTGCTGGTTCTCAGCAGGAAACGAGGACATGACCCCTATAAATCCTCCCCCTATGGCTACCTTTAAGGGAATCCCTAGGTTCATTCCCAAAACCCGGGGTCATTCCCTACTGAGCAAGGTAAAGACGAAGCAGAAGGAAAACCCACTTGAAGGGCAGGGTACTTAGTAAGTGGGTAGTAACCATGCTGATAACCCACTTACCATGGTTATAAGTCTCCTAAGTGGGTCATAGCCATGGTCATTACCCACTTACCTGAGGTACCCGCTCACCATTTTCCTGAGGCTCCCCCAATGAGAACAGGTGGCCATGCCAGCCCTAGGAACCTGCACTATGCCGTGGAGGAGCTTCAAAACGAGGAGAAGTGGCTTGTTGGTTGTGTTTTGTCGACATGTCTTTGCATGTCGCCGGCATGGAAGGCCACTTGTCATGTGAAGCCGTCTTTCAAAGCATCAACTGCAGACAGCTTGATTTGAAAAGTTGAGCTCTTCACCAAACTGACTGATCGCTGCATTTGCATACCAGGTTGATGTTTGCCATACAGGTTGTCATGATTCAGGGGCCTGGCTTTTTGTCGGCAAGCAAAGCAGCCTCGGCTCATCGGACCCATGTGGGCGTGTTCCTTTTGAGGGTACCAGTTTCAGGTTAGTTTAAAAGAACACCAAAAGGACAGTGGAAGCCATTTTGGGGGGTTCCCCTTTTTTGAGACACTCATGTGCTACCCAAAAGCACCGGCCGCGTGTCCGCTGACTGCCTTCAGGCAGCCATGATGCGGCGTATCCGGGAGCTTTTCGATGCAGAGGCCCGGGTTTCACAGCCCCGTCTCGGCGCGTCTTCCGTCAGGGCACCCGAGTCCGCCCGAGTCACGTGCTAAAAACCCTGGTATTTGGAGGGTAAGGGGCAATCCCGCACCCATAAATGGGTGCGGGTATCCGCCTCTTCAATTCTCGACATGGTTCTGGGTATACCATTTGGATACCGATCGGTTTTGATTATGGCTACCACTGAATAGCACAGAACAGTTTACCATTGAAACCCGCTATCCGACTATTGAACCAAAGATGGTGCTCAAGGAGATTTGATGGCATCGTGAGTACAGTGTTTGGCCCACGGCGGAGCCAACAATGTGCCATTCCAAATACCTTTGGGGCCATTTGCGGTCTGGGAAATTCCTGGTGGACCGCAGGTTTCAGTCCATGGTTCTATTTACCAGGGCAACCCATTTTCTTGCTGGTGCTCAGCAAATTAGGGAATGACCGTTACCTTCCCTTGTGGTTTCCTTTAAGTGGGGATTTGGGTTCATTCCCACATTCCCTGAGCACCAGCAAATTCTGCGGTTACCAACTATTCTTGACCGCCACAGCCAGTCATTTATGCGGTGCACAGGACTTGAGCGAGGAGGCGGTCACTCGGCGGCGGAATCGGCCGGCCGCCCAGTTGTGACTTCAGCGAGAGATGCTGCCACTTAAGGGGATGGATCGATTCAGCCTGATTCATTCCCAAAACCTGAACGGTCATTCCCTATCGCACCAGCAAGGGAAAGGGAAGCCAACAGCAAAACCCAAAAGCTTGAAGGGGCAGGGTACCTAGTAAGTGGGTAAGAGCCATTGTTATGACGGTTATGACTGCGAAACGCCACGGTTAAAAGTCTCCTAAGTGGGTTATAAGTAGGCTTACCAACCACTTACGAAGTACCCGGCCCTTTGAAGTGTGATTTTGTTTAGTTACTGCTCAACCGCAGTTTCCTGGATGAGCCACTTGAATTGATCAATCGTAGCGCACGGTTGTGTCCTCGAGGTGCACGGATTCTTCGGTGAGTCCGTATTCGCCCACCATCGTCTACTGCGTCAGGCCGGATACATGACGTATAATATATATATATATATAATATAATATATATATATATATATGTACATGCATATTTACACACATGCAATACATATATTTCATATATATATATATACATCATCATACACAAGACAAGCTTGCTATAAATACAGACCAAGATGTCATACGTTGCTTCGTTTCTATTTTTGCTTCGCCATGTTCCGCAGAATGCACTACCGACGGAGGCTGGGCTTTGCGCCAGGAAAAGCGACGCCGACGAGGTGGCAGCGCAACTGCAGCGAGGCCGGCGCTCGGATTTTTCTCGCGGCGATGCTGAGACTTCAGGATCTTAGACCCACTTTTTGAGTTCCTGGACTTTAAACTTTTTGGGAAGTGGTAAATAAGAAGTTCAGGCTTCTTTTGGCCAGTCCACTCAGGAAGTGAGTAGAAGTGTCATGGTTTGGGTGCGTCTTTGCTTGAGGGTGGTTTCTTTGGATGGTTTGAAAAGGAAGCAAACAGCAGCCACCCTTTTTGGGTCCTCTAAGAAACGACACAACCGGGGTGAATTTCGATTGTGGAAAGGCTCGATTTGGAGAGTGTCACTTGATTGGACCCACTCGACAAGGACGCCCTGGTTCACGTAGGGAGTCCATTCTTCCCACAGCCATAGATGTCCTTTTGAACGGTTGGTTTGGTTGAAAATAGATGGGTTCCTGGTTTAGATTGGTCTTATTCCATTTACCAGGGCCATCTACTTTTCCAAAAGGACACCTCTGCAAACAGCTACAAGCAGCACTTAAGACGTAAGTGTCAAACAAGTCCTAATTCCGATCGCCCTGAGACAGTTGAACCCAAGGCTTGCAGACTCTTGCATCTTCCATCGCTGGATCAAAGCGGCCCGAGACCCATTGCCATGGCGTTGGCTACGAGATGTTGCATGAGTCGGGTTGCAGCTCGGCAAAATGTCTTTGGCTTGCGCCCGCGGGAGGGGATGTGTGAGCTCCTGTCTTGTGCTGGGGGATGCCATGTGCATGCCGACTCTGTCCTGTTGAGTACCTGTAGTTTGAGTGAGGGATGAGGTGTTGAGGCTGGTGCACAGATGGAATTTAGTTGGATGCAAACCACCCATTCAAGACCTTTGACTGGGGCTTTGACACGCACACACACACACACACACGCTCACACACACACACCCACCTACACCTGCACCTACATCTACACCTGCACCAGCAGGAAGGGTTGAGCGCGTCGTGCTCCAAGGCTCTGAGCTTTGCGCTGCTGGCGTCCTGTGAGGCACCTTGGCCTGTGGAGGTGTGCGAGCCTTGGTCAACCGGTCTGGCCACAGAGCATGCTTGGTGGCTTCCGCCATCCGGTTCCTGAGGTGCTTTTAGCTTTTTTAGAGTCTAGTGGGAGTCCCCATTTCATCCGCCAAAAGTGAAGCTTTGCGCAGGGGAGCTGAGGATAGCGCAAAGTCAAGACTTGAAGACTCATCACGTGACGCGACTGGCCCATATCGGTCTGATGTGAAGGGAGAAGACCAGATCCGGCTACCCAGACCACACACCTGGAACCCACCAGAGTGTCCCTTTAAAAAGAAATGGTCTTCCAGGACCTTTTGTGAGCTTCCATGTGGATGGGAGGGTACCAAGGCGTCTACTTGGTGGTTCCTTGGGTTTTAGGTTCTTAGGGTTTAGGGGGGGTTTCCATTTCATCCGCTAAAAGTGAAGCTTTTAGCACAGCTCAGTCTACCAAGGCCAGCTTTGGCGATCGACTCTTCCAGGGCGCGCTGGCCTATGCCAACCAGAGCCTTTACGGCCGCTTCATCCGGCAGATGGTGAATGGCACGCTGCCCCAGGCGGCCTTCGAGTACTACCTGCCACTCAGCTCAAAAAATCCACTGTCCAACCAGAAGGGCCGATTTTATGGCGAGCTCATCTGGGAACAAGTAGTAAAATGAGCGAAAGCCATGATTAAGGTCCTTTACTTGAACATCCAATTCTGAATTCAGCTTTGGGAATGATGGTAACATTTGCAGATAGCCATTGTGTGCTTTTCTTTGCTTGCCCGACATTGAAAGTCCTCATTCCGCATAGCCTTTGCTGGGGAGTTCAGCAGTTCGGCTTTCAGGTGGCCCCGTTCGCCCAGGCTTTCAGCTTAGCAATAGCTGGACACCGTGCAAGCGAATGCAGAGTCCCCGCTTTAGGGGCGTTTCCCATGAGACGACTGTCTCGTGTCTTGTGTAACCAGAGACTTGGAAGGACGAGCACAGCAATTACTCACCATCCTTGAAGTTTGCGTCATATTTTGCTGGGGCCCACTTCTGTTTCAGCCAACCCACGGGCTCAAACCATAGGTGTCCTTGTGACGGGATAGTCTGCTTGGAAATAGATGGGTTCCACCGGCTTCGGGTTTCTTTTTGCCCATGAACCCCATAAAAAAGAACCCATCTTCTTTTTTTCCCCCAGGGTCACGACTCACGAGCGCCAAATGCCGGGCACCACTCGGACGCAGACACCGTCGGGCTTCCGATTTCGGTGCGACCGGGCTTGGGGGTTCGAAGTTCGAAGCATCCACCAAGGCCCAAACGGCCAACGCGTTTTGGGCCAAATTGCCCAGGGTCTTTTTCGCCCAGATTTTCAAGGTTGTCGTTGGGAAACATTTTTCACATTTAGCTTATTGTGGTTTAGTGGTTGAAATCCAAATCCACTTAGCTGCTGAAACTTTTTTTTTTTTGCTCCCCTTCCAAGGTCAACCAAGTTTTGTGGACAATTGATCGAGCTCTTGGTAGTGAAGCATTACTTTTTGAGGGGGTCGGCAATTTTCTCACAACAGGTAGCAAAAAGACCCCCCTGGCCAAGACAAACTTCAAACGGACAGCCCTGTTCTTGCTCAAGGCAAAAGGTTTGGCTCCAGGCAACAGAACCCATTTCACAGGGAAACCCATCTTTGTGTTCATGCTTGAAGTTCGCGTCATATTTTTGGCCGGGGCCCACTTTTCGGTTTTCAGCCAACACTTCCTTAGGCTCCAAGAGCAGAGACGCCTTGAGTCAAAGGGTTCTTGTGTTACGCCCTGGGATTACGCCGGCATGTTCCCAGGGTGTAAGACAAACCCCCTTAGATTGAGACACATTCTACATTTTACCAGTGACTCCATGTGAAGCAAACAATAAAATATACATTGAATGACTGGGCCTAGCTCTAATCATGTGACACCTCATTTACACCAGGGAAACTCATAGAAACCCAACGGCAGAGAAGGTTTGGCTCGAGGCAACAAGACAACCTCTACCGCAGGCAACAAAACCAATGGTACTTGTACCATTTTCGGGTAGGTGCACCACCCGCTTTAGAACTTAGTTTAGTGGGGATTGGGAGGTTCACTGGGGGTACGATTTGGGTTTTGACGTTTTGACCCATGGCCATTTGTAGCTTTGGTCGCCTTGGACACCCCATTTACACTTGCCGGGCCCACTTTTTTCGGTTTTCAGCCAACACTTCCATTCTCCAACCGAGACGCCTTGAGGCAACAAGACAACCTCTACCTCAGCAAGTACGCCCGCGCCTTTGGCGTCATGGCCGCCAAGTCCTCCAGAACCGATGAGCTCGCCTGGCTGCTGAACAAGTCCGCGCCCGGGCGAACCCAAGGCGTCGAGAAGCTTGGGGACACGGATACACCCAGAAATGGACTCGGTTTAGAGGGAAACCAAGGGTAACATCACCATTTTTGGGGCGTTTGGGGTTGGTTTAAACGGAAAGCAAGGGTAAAAACTGTGAGGGTTTGGTTTAGATGTTGAATTTTTAGACACTGCCGGATTTTTGAGTGCTTGGGAATCGCTTGCATGGTGCTCAGAATGTCCAAAATGGCCATATGTGGCCATATGGGCCTTACATTTTTTCGGACCCTGGTTTGAAAAACCCCCCGCCTGAGTGCTTTTTGAGAGGGTAACGGATAACTAGTGGGAAGGACACGGACCTGATGCTGATTCGATTCTGATTGCGATCCCCGACAATCAGCAGATCCACCCTGTTCGCAACAGGGCATATCACCGGATGCTGGATACGTCCTTCTCTCTCTATCTTTCTAGGGTACTTTGTAAGCGATTAGTACGCCTGTTTATAACCCACAACAACCATAGTTATGATCTCCCTTCAGTTTCACCAGGCTTACCTTCGCCTCGTCCCTTTAAGTTTCTGATATGGCCATGGGTCAGAACCTATGCCTCAATTTTGGGGCGGATGAACACCCAGGTACCACCTATTTTGATGTTCACCAGGGGTACAGGGTTTTGACCTATAGCCGTATGTGTTTCTCTTTCTCTCCTTCTTGCTCAAGCTTGGAGCTGCGTATAGACATCAGTGCATGGCTTCAGTGCAGCAGATGATGGGCGCCATAGACCAGGGTTTGCAAGCCAGGGGGTGGTCACTACGCCAACTACAGATGTGAGGTTGTGTCTTGGGATGATGTTTCTCGGCAAGCCCAGCCATGTGCCTTAGGTGTTTAGTTGTTTTCAGTTGGTTTAGTGGTTGGCTCCCCCTTGGGTTTTGAGTTGTTGGTTTAGTGGTTGGGTTTCCATTTGATCCACATACTATTTCCAGCCAGTAAGTTTTTAGGTTTTTAGTTGGTTTAGTGGTTGGATTTCCGTTAAAACCCACAAGTTAGATCAGACAATGGACAGCCCAGAGTCGTCGCGGAGAAGTGGATGGGCAGCTGTCATGCTGGGGGGCAAACATCACGGACACCTATCTGAAGAGCAAAGGCGGCGAGCAACTCTTCACGGTGCGCAGTGAGAATTGGAATGAGCGTTTAGGAGTCGTGAGTGCAGATGAAGTCGCTGTCGTTGTTGCCAATGACTCTGGTCCTCTTCAGCCTGTAACGTTGCGCTCCGTGCTGCAGAATTTGGGGCAATATGGCAGCTATGCCGGCCTGAACGAGAGCTCTTGCCTTTTCACTGCAGAGTTGGACGTCAAGTGTTCCATACGCTTCCAGACCACCTTCATTCCCGTGGAGGTGCGCGAATCCGAAGGCCCGGACGGTCGCGGCAAGCTGGAGTTCGCCACAGAGGCCTACAACTACAACACCATGGATGACGCCGACCCGCGGAACCTGGTGCTGTTGTGCACCAGGGCATGGCAGTGCATCAGGATGGCTGGAGCAAGAAGCTCTTCCACCACGCCGTGGAGGATGGCCTCATCCACCGCTGGCTGGAGGCCGAGGAAAGCCAACACAAAGTCGGCGCTGAGCAGAAGGAGACCAGCGAGGAGCGGTCGGATGCGCTGAAACGTGGGAAGGCCACCTCGAGCGT